CATGTGTAATCAGTCCAATGGAAGGGCGAGACGTCATAGGCGGGTGACGTAGCGACCAGGAAGCTATAAAAGCACGTGAGGTGGAACCGACGTCAGCTTTCTGTCATTCAGCGAAGCGCTCTGTGTTGTGTCAGTCATAATCTTTGTTGTGAGTCCTATTTGGTGTTGTCCGTCATAAAAGAAAGTAGGGCTGCAACTAACGATTATTTTGATAATCGATTAGTTGGTCGATTATTTTTTCGATTAATCAATTAATCGGATTAAACGCAAACAATTTTCTTTTTTTATTTTATTGACAAAAACACACTATTCCACATTCTGCCCAATGTCCTTAAAACAAACGTTCCAACTGAATGCTATTAAAACATACAGTGCTTAATTTATTAGACCACCTGCCATAATAAAGAGAAAACACATTTTAGGAATTTTAGGAATATGTCAAAAAAAAAATTTAATCAAAAAAATGTTATTGTCATATATTTATAACTAAATACTTTTATTTATTCACATAACAAAAATGGCCTTACATAATTTGTTAAAAACCTTACATAAATTTGTATTAATAAATTTGTTAAGCATTGTATATGGTGAATATAGTTTAAATCTCTGAATTAAAAATTAAAATAATAATAAAGATGATAAAGACGAATAAAACCACAAACTCAGTGGTAACCAATAGGTAAGAGTAATGTTCTGCAGGAACACACGTTCATTTGACCACAGTCACGTCGATTGTGTTTCTCAGCAATAGTGTGCACCCTTAATTTACAGAGAAAAGATGGTCAGGGAAAAATCTGTAGATGAAAAAAAGTTATTTGTGCATTTTTCTATTTTTCTACTTGTTACTTTACACTTTTTGTTAGAAAATGTTTATTTACTATTTATTAAAGTTTTTAAAGGTACCTAATATTTTGATATTTAATTTCCATGATCTATCACGGCATAGCCCAATTCGGACGGTAATTGTTTCTCATATGGACGTCTGTCAAAATAAATTTACTTACCACCTCAGTGATAAAACTCATGGATTCCGAATAGGGCTTAGTGTCATTTCTTTATCCTGTTAAAGGCGGTTTTGAAGCGTCTGATATTTATATTCAGACAATTACACGCTTTTATCCCCTTACAGTTCCTACTCTCATAAAATATGCGCAATGCATGTTGACCTTTAAACCTTAATTTAACTTTCAACAACAGATATTTCAGCACAATAAATGTTTTTGCGCCGATTATTAATTGTCTCTGTTTTCCGTCTGTCTGATGCGCGTGCACGCTCATTCAGTAAAGATTAAAATTTAACACAGACTGTCAGGACGGACCTTTATGCAAAAATGGAAATGCTCGCGTGAATTTGTGACATTTATACATAAAGATATGACGGTTAACTGAAAGTTTTTTTGCGCTGAGGACGCACACGCATCTGTTAAAGCGCCTGACAGGGCAAGCCATTACGCTAATGCATTAGCTTAAAGCTTAAAATAAAGAATTCTCATGTTTTGGGCAGCTTGGATCACGTAACTCTCCTGCAGCATCTCATTCTGTTTCCTCCACTATTTTTAGATGCATTTTGTCCATAGAAATAAGTAATTCAGTGCTTTAATTTGACGCGACCGGCTTAAGTTGGACAAGTATGTAAACTCCGTTAGACGTGCACTGTGGGCAGACCCGATTAATCGATAATGAGAATCGTTGTCGATGATTTTCATAATCGATAATAATTGATTTTATCGATTAGTTGTTGCAGCCCTATTTGTGTGTCTGTTCCACACCATATTTGTTAATCCACATTAGAGCCTGACCTTTCGACCACTTTGAGGTGTGGAATTGCTTTGTGGGGTGAGGATGGGGTGTGGGAGACATGCCTGAATAACAGAAGAGCAGTATTACTGTCTGTCTGCATGCACGTGCAGTACTTTAGCTAGAGATATAAATAGCTGTCTTTGAATAGGAGGGTTGGAGAGAGATGACTGTGGCGCCAGAGTAGTGGTGAGTGCCAGTTTTCCTGGGGAAGAGAAGGCAATGGGCAGCCTTACACGTCACACAAAACTAAAACATGCATTATGGAGGGACGATTATAGTGTACAACTGCCCTCACGTTAAGCCTTGATCTTCAGCATACACAAATATTTGTTCAAGGGTGGAGTAGAGATGATCCGAGCATCATTACCTGTACAAATCTTGGTTAAATTTCATTAGATCTCTGAGGGTGATTAAGTCACTCGTTTTTGCACTTTCACAACATTTGGGTGTGATGCAATGCATATTTCAGTTAGTAAGACCTGCAGTACAACGGAATGCTGTGTGAAAGGCTTTTTATATGTCGCTTACGAACTGCATGCGTTTTATAAAGATAGTTTGTCTCCAAAGTGAACCAACATGCTTTATTTAAATTGAGACAGGGTGTCTTGTATCTACAGGCGTGCTGTGGGAATGTTCAGCATAAAAATGGCTCCCAAATGAGAGGAAAAAATGACTGCATTCTTACAGAGGTTAAACCAAAGCATTTGTTCTAAATAGCATACCATTTTCAAAGTCTTGGTGCGAAAACTTATGTATCTCTATCGGTTGTCTGTCCAGTAAGTTTTGCGATACTATAACAAATTGATTTTTTTTTCCCTTCTAATCTCTTGCAGCAGCCATCTCCAACCTGCAGTACTAATAAATTGCAGTGCACTTGCACACGCTACACTCAGACACTTTAGTGTTTTTACATCTTCATCTTATCAATTTGCCGGTAGCTCTGATCTCTGTATATGTGACAGTGTTCAGGTTGCTGTTTTGTTTACTAGCTTCAGAATCACCATGCAGATTTTTGAATTGTGTATTATAAACAAGAGAAAAGCTTCCATAAATTTACTGAATTCTGTTGGTATTTTAAAGTGTTGCTTAAATTTGCAAATACCTGGGGTTTATGGAAATGCTGTCAAAGCCAGACAACATTAAAATCTCGGCTGGTGTTTGTAATTGTTTTCTTGCTTGACTGGATCAAATGCATTCTGGGGAATGGTCCAAATTCTTGAACCGTGTTGCATTTATTGAATGTGTTATTTCGATCATTTAGGTTGCTTAACAGTTATCAGTTATTGCAGATTAGTGTTATCAGATGAACAGGTCTACCTCACAATGAAATTAAAAATATATATATTATTATGCTATTTGTTTGCAGTAGGGCTGTCAATAATATAACATTTTGACTGGTGATTGTGGTGGTAACTGATTTTTATAGAAATTCAGAAATGTTCACGTCAGTTACAGTGTACCTAGTAATTTTTATTATAAACTTGGAAACAATTAAAATGTGGGATTTCCTTAAGTTTTCATGAAGCTTAAGTAATATTTGTGCTGTAATTTATTCACTTTCACATGAATACATACATTTTTCTGTTAAAATCCCTTTATCTTTTTCACATGAAGTCCTTTGAGTTTCTGTGTGTAATTGGCAATGTTTTTTAATGTGCCCTCATTCCAAATCTGGGGAATGCTGTCATCACCACGCAAAAAACACTGCCAAGCCATCAGAACCGGACCGAACTGAAAACCGTGGTTAAAAACACTAAGTAATAGAACTAATTTGTTCTAGGAAATCCCTAATATGGATAAAAGCATCCAGCTATCGCTGTAACTGAATAAAAAGAAGATTGAAACGTTTTGAATGATGAAACATGAAGACAATAAACATTCGACTGCAACAATATATGGTTTGTGTTCTTTAAAATTTGTAGTTCTTAATAATTAAGTATATTTATAATCCATTGCTAATCTACATATCCTTTATTGCAGTATAGAATATATTTTCATTCTGTGGTAAGAAGCAACATCAGATCACAAAAAAATAAGTTATTTGAAACATTTGATTGATGTTGTGGAGTAAAAACATGTCATTTATGTTCTTTGTTGTTGGACAACAGGTTTAGAAACGCTTCTCATTGCAAGTCATTACAAGGGAAGATGTTTGGTGTGTTTTACTTTTTCAAATGCACTTTATAAGCGACTCAAACTCACAGTGTCTCCCAGAAGTTTTTTTTTTAATGTAAAACCAAAAAACCGCAATTCACAAGAGCATATTGAACCGTAGATGTCGTAACCGAACAGTTCAATATTATACTGAGAATTGTGGTATCCCTACTGGTCACTGTTGTATCAAATAATCATGAACAGTTGATTTTGTAATAATTGTGATAACTCTAGTTGATAGATTTTCTGATGACTGTGTTTTCTGATGACTTGTTTACTATTCAGTTCTTACATCCATCTTACAGGTTGACTGGTTGTATGTGGAACATTAACAGATGTCATTACTTTCAAAACTGTTCTTGTTCTGAGGAAATCGGTACATAAGTACTATTTGTTTTTGAAGATCTGTTGACTTTGAAAATGGCCAGTTAAACAAAAATGGGGGAAAAAATAGAAAAAATGTCTTAAAGGAGATTGACGGTAAAGTGCTAATGTGTCCTTCCCTCTCTCTGTCTCACAGACGGTCGATGACGATGCGATGGAAGCGTGAATGAGGTTTGGCGTGGCAATAGCTGAACGATGCCCAAGGGTGGGGGTTCTAAAACCCCCCAGCTGGAGGACTTCCCATCCAACACCGACATGGTGGAAAAGCAGTGTGGGAAGAAGGTGAGGAAATTTTTTTTTATATCAAATGCACACACACACTCTGCTGATATAACTGCCTGTAACCTTTCTAAGCAGTTAAGTAACGACCCATTGGATAGTTTATATCCTAAATCTTTTCTTTAGAGCTACATACACCATTGCACACTGCATTACCTATTTCAGCATTCGGACTAAGAATGGGCATCTTTCATTTGTTTTTATACAATCTAAACATTTTAGTAAGAATCACAGTCAATAGATGATCCTAACTAATCATGCTACACTAAATAGTACACATCACTGTGATGTAGGCCTGGGCGATAAAACGGTATAGATATTTATCGACGGTACACCTTCTTCGATAACGATAGAAAAAATGTTCGATATAGGCACGTGCTATGAGTGTATGAGACAGCTCACACAAACACGAACACATGCTGAATTGAGTGCTGTGCCTGCCTGTGATGAGGAGATTGTGAATAAAGAATAAGATCTTGATTAGGTGAAAACCGAAACCAAGCCATTCACACAAATGCATATTCAGCGCATTATTTAGACGAACAAATATGACTGCTGCACTCGCGTCTCACACAAGATGTAGTAGTCTTGCAAAGTTAAAACAGTTAAAACTTTTAGAAAACACGTCGCAAATTTGTGGAGGTTTATTCCTTTTCACTGCGTCTTTTATGTTTTTAAATGCAATCTGCGTGATGGGAGATTCGGCTCTTTGTATTAACCAATGCATAAATACATGATGCTGTTTTGTTCATAATTGTTTATGCAATTTACGAAATTATATTTGATTTATATGAGTTAATTTAGAGGTAATGCACGTTTGTTTATAGACAGTTATTTACTTGCATTGATATTATGCGCTGCATTATTTTGCTCATTGCGCCCTCCTGTGGCCTCGGGAGACAAGCCAAAAGTTTCCTTAAGACCTATTTAATCTGCATATAAAACATTAGAAATTAGATATTTGTTTCATTTTTATTGTGTGAAAAAAAACAATAAATTGTTGTTTGTCTCAATAAATTGGGTTAATTTAAAAATACAGTGGTTAAATTAAAAAAAAAAATTCTATTGCTCTGTTTCAAAAAAAGGTTATAAAAAATTTCAATAATTATCGATACTGAACGATATGAAACATTATATCGTTGATAAATTTTTTAGCTATATCGCCCAGCCCTACTGTGATGTCTATTGGATGTTTTCATAAACCATTTTTGTAACCGTTTTTTCTTAAGATGAACAAGGTCACTTAAAACACACCACCTTATAAGCACACCACCTTATACCCTAAGATCGCAAAACTGTGAGAATATGGCAATCTTTAGTTAAGAGACTAAACAAACATGCTGATTAATGAGATTCATTGGCCTCCATCCCAGGATTCGTAAATGCAAAAACAACGAAAGCAAAACCATCAAAACAGCACTCAGTATACAGTCATAGAAGATTGTCTTCTACTGTGTTAAGGATGAAAACACAGTAGAAATTCACTCTGGAATTGTATAAAAACAATATATAAATAAAGAGGCATTTGATGCTGATTTCTCTTCATAAGTTTTTTTTAATCTGTGGGTCAGTGTTTTGATACAAGACAAGCCAGAGTTAGTGAAGAGTTTATGGCCCAGATGGTGTGTGTATGTACATCATTCTGTGTAGTATTGCATCAGACTCTGCGAGGGGGAGGGAGCAAGCACGTGAGCGACAGAGGGCTGCTCATACAGGTGGTTTTAGAGAAAGGCAGTGAAAGTTTTTTTTTTTTTACTTGCTTTAGCTTGGGTTTCTCTACGTGCTATAAGAAATCCTGCTCTCATCTTTCTGCCTCTAGCTCACTGTGTTTTCATATATCTTTGAGCTCAGTTCTTAGGAGCAGATATTGTCTTTGTGCTTGTGCCTGTGCTTGTGTGTGCATGTTTGCACGTGGATGACATCATAGTCTCATGACAGAGGGGGAGGCGGGCTGGGCGGAGAGGCTCTCGCAGTAGAAATGGCTCTACGCTGCATTCAGCTTTAGTTTCATCACAGCACTAAGAGCTCTTTAATTAGCCTTCATTTGCACTGCCAGTAGCAGAAACAGCCCCAGCTGCTCCAGTCCCACTTCCTCTCCCAACAGTCAGCCTCTAGTTCTATTATTTGTATAACCATGTATGTTTTAATGAAGAGATCTGGTTAAAATCTCAATTTCTCTTCCATTGTGGGGACACATGTTTGTTCTTTTTTGTTGCCGTTTATTTCATACATTTTGTTACAAATTTCAGGTACACTCAGCTCCATTTAATAATTTTTTCTGTAGGCTATGTTAGTGCTGGGCGGTATGACCAAAAATGTATATCACGGTATTTTTCAAAATTATACCGGTTTCACGGTACATGATGGTATTTTTTTTTCATGCATGACCGGGTGTTAACCATATTTT